GCATAGGCAGAGTCTTTGGCGATGTTGTCAGCAGCCACGTCCACAACTTCGTTTCCAGTAGCCATTTGAATTTAAGCACGAATCAAATCGAATCGAATTTGTTTTAAGATTGTTGTGAAATTCAAATTGGCAGTAGTATAAATATTACGAACAATACAGAATTGTAAAGAAATGAAATTACAATAACAGAATTAGAATCGATACAAATGGATACCGAGGCCTGTGTTGGACACAGTTTCCTTAAAACAGATTCGTTCCATCCAGCACGTGTATGAGGTTTCGCGAACATCTGTCTCCCAGGATACAACGGTTGACAGCTAAGAAGAAATCGGCACTTCAAAGCTTTCGGCGAACTTGAACAAACCGGAACCGAACACTATCGAAAAACGGTGCAAAATGTAGAGAATTGAAAGAGAGGAATAATTCGATGATTTTTAAAAATAGAATGGAAAAGCATCTATTTACAAGGTTAGGGTGAAGCGTTTCGGGAATAATAACGGCTGATTGAATCTGCCGTTATAAAATTAATACGCATCGAGAATAACGGCCGATTAAATATGCCGTTATAAAATTAATTCTATAACAACATAATTTAACGCCATTAACCATACGTTACAAATTTAAAATTTGTAACAACTTGAGTTGAAAAATAAATCAAAAGGCAAAATTGAGCTCGTCGCGAGGCCCACTTTTCGGCCATGCAATCGTGCCCAAGTTTTAGCTTGTCAGGCGTCAGATTTGCACCCCCCCTGCGCCTGCCTGCGAGGCATAGTGTTTGTGCTATGATAGTTACCACTTCAAATGAATGAAACTGTATATAAAGCACTCCATAGCCTTCTTTCTTTTCCAATGTGGGACCACTGTTTTTCCACTTCCCACTTCCAACTCAAGGGTGCTCTTTGAGCATCAATTTCTCATTCATTCACCCATCAATTTATCCCATATTTTCAACAGACTTTAGAAAGAGAGTAGGGCCTAGGAAATTTTCTTATCATGAGTTAGATCTCGCCACAAACAACTTCAACGAGAAAGGGAAGCTCGGAGAAGGCGGGCTCAGTGGCGTGTACAAGGGTCGCTTGAGGGAATCAGACTCCTATTTGGCAGTCAAGCAAGTCTCGAAGAACTCTAGGCAAGGGATCAAAGAGTATGCGTCCGAGGTGAAGATCATTAGCCAATTGAGGCATCGGAACTTGGTACAACTCGTAGGTTGGTGCCATAAGAAGGGACAACTGTTGCTCGCATACGAATTCATGCCTAATGGGAGCCTGGACTTGCATTTCTTTAAGGACGTTAGCTTGCTCTCGTGGGAGACGAGACATAGAATCGCGTGAGGCTTGGCCTCCGCGTTGCTCTATCTGCATGAATTCGACAACCAATGCGTCTTGCATAGGGATATCAAATCGAACAACGTGATGTTGGATACCGACTTCAATGCCAAACTTGGGGACTTTGGCCTAGCTAGACTTGTAGATCATGAGAAGGGGTCACAAACCACCGTCTTAGCAGGAACACGCAGATACACGGCCCCTGAATGTCTCATAACAGGCAAGGCCACTAAGGAATCCGATGTGTATAGCTTCGGAGTGGTTGCTCTTGAAATAGCATGCGGAAGGAGGTCAATTGAGCAAGGGTCAACTCAAGAATACCCGATACAATTAGTCGAGTGGGTTTGGGATCTGTATGGTTTAGGGACGCTTCTCGATGCAGCCGATCCAAGATTGTCTGGAGAGTTTGCAAGAGAACAAATGGAATGCTTGATGATGGTTGGACTCTAGTGTACGCATCCGAACTACACGAGTCGTCCTTCCATAAGGCAAGCCATTAGCATACTCAATTTCGAAGCTCCAATTGTCTCACTCCCGTAAAAAATGCCTGTCATGAGGTATGTTGCTGTTTGATGTTTGTTTATAAAACAAACAAAATAATGCTCTTTCCTTTGTCCCACATAGGAAAGTTTTGAGAAAGTGGGCCATTTTATAACTGTGAATATCTTCTTGCTCTTTAGAGTGAAGACAATGGGGTGTGTGCTAGTCCACACAATACCCGCGTACGGGTGTACGAATAATTGCGCGATTTTGGCGCGATTATTAGGCGCACTTACCACTAATCCTTTTATTTTTTATTTTATTTCGTAAGGTTATCTCATTAATCTTTATTAGTCGAAAGGTTGTTTTTTGTTTATCAAATAATTCTTGAAATTATGAAAATTCGGAATTTTATTTATATATATTTTTATTTTATTTTATTCCGAATTTTACATGTGTCTTTTCAAGACAATTTTTGGAGATTATATTTGTTCAGTTTTCAATCTTTCCCGAAGGGTTGCATTTGTTCAGTTTGTAACTTCTTCCGAAGGAATATCTTTGTTAGCTTTGCAACCTTTCGTGAAGAGTTGCCTATGTTCTTTAAGACCGATTTCTATATATGTCAGTTTTTTGCAAGAAGAAAAAATAGAAATCAATTTTTCAAGTCTTCTTTCGAAAACTACAGCCATCATTTTCAATTGTTTCCTAGAGAGACCCTACAGAAATACTAGAATTGCTATCTAGTATTCTTATTTTGAAACTTTGTTGTATCCTGGAGGATTTTTGCCGGTGACCATTAGCAACATTGTGGGGCAAATAAATCCTTAAAGAAAGTGATATCACGCCTCAAAATCCGACTTGATTGCTCTTTTGATTCAAAGCCATTTATTTTTACAACAGTTGCTCCTTGGCAAGATATGTTAATGTTGTCTCAAGCATCTCCTTCTATCGCTGCAAACATCCGTGCAAGCAAGATTTACGAAACCTCGAGCCTCGCTTGCAAAACCAGTTCCTCATTGTATGAACCATCCCAATCATCTTCCCCTTCTGTCGCCCTATCGATCTCGGTGGGCTAGACGGGTTGTCGAAAAAATTTGTGTGGATCATGCATCTTTCATGGATTGAAGTATTCCGAAACAATGTCGTTTGAATCGTTTGTTCCGAATAGCAAGACACATACGGTGGGAATTTGTGTGGTTTTTGAGTTCATTGTTGGGTTCGTGCTTGATCCAAAAAATTTGTGGATCGTGCGTCGTTATATCGCTCGCAAGAAATCACTAGAAAAGAAGGAAATCAAATAACCTGAACTTTTCTTGTTTAAAGGCTAAGGATCAAACCTAAAAAGAATCCTTGCCCATGTTTTTAAGCAGCACTGGATTCGTTGCGTTATCAAAAGGAACTAGTTGGCGAACTTATGACACTTCATATGCATTCGTGAAACCATACAAGCTCATTGCAAACCCTAGAAATGGTTGCTGGTGCACTGCACATAAGAAAATTCGCACATTCTTCCTACTTTTTCTTTATCTCACCTCCCCTATGGGATATCTTTATCTAGACTACGTTTTTCTTATATCCGACTTTATATTATCTTTGGTAAGAATTAAACATAGGATATGAAAAAATTTATCATATACTAAAATTTTATCTTAATCACCAAACGTAGCTTAAAAGAAAAAGTTTTTGATTCTTGATCTCATTGTACAATTGTTGAGATGATTTCCACTTTACAAAAATATGACAAACCATTACACTTTGTAAGGAAACAATACAACAATGAAAAACAATAAATGAAGAGATTATGTTATAAAAGTTATCAATCCCTTGATTATAACATCTCTTAGAATAAGTTTGTGATTTTGATTGATGTCTCCATATTCTTCTCCCTTGATTGAAAAATCAATGCCTTTATCTATATCACAATGCGTGATGCTATTGACGTTGCTGAGTGGCGTAAGTGATGGTGAGGACGGCATTTCGGTGATCCAATGGTCCTGCCAGGTCTTCGTGGCCGTTGCTTCTATGCTGGTTGTGCAGTTAGGGCTCAAGGCCGTGCCGTTTGGCCTCAGTATCAAAGAGATTGTTTTGCAATGTCAATCAACCTCTCCGTGGTTAGATATCACTGCCTCGACGCTTATGTCGCCTAACACAGCCATTGATTGCCATGGTTCAAGCAAAAATCATAGCACAAGCAGTCCAAGCCCTCTTGACTACTATCAGTTAGTGCTGTTGTATATCTGTTTTTGCTCACTCGATTAATTTCGAAGATATCAATCGTTCACGATAGTGATAGATACATTTGAATGTCGTATTCCGTCAATGTCCGGCTAGTGTCAAGAGATTGTACTAGAATTTGTCTTATATTACCTAGACTGATTAATCCTATAGGCATAATTCAATGTGAATCCAAGCATATCCATTTTTGGCTTGTTGCCAACCCGCACTTAGCTCATGGACCATAGCAAAGGGTGGCAGACCACAGTTTTAGCGGGCACACTAGGATACATGGCTCCAGAATGCCTAGTACCTGGCAAAGCAAAGAACAAACCGGACATATGCAGCTTCAGGGTGGTTGCTCTCGAAGTAGCTTGTGAAGAGGGCCGGTCGGATGGGAGTGGAAGAGAACTCGTTCATTGTTGCACATTTAGCTCGAAAGGGACGTCAATAAGTCTACTTGTTCGAATTATCGCCAATTCTTAACATCATTATCATCAAACATTTGAGTTTTCGACCAGGAATGCCAGTCCTAGAGCTCAATAGTCTTATTCCTTGAACAATGCAAAATGTGCAGAAAGAGAGAAATAGACCAGGAAGAAAGAATCAGATTGAGTATTGAGTTCTTGCTTTTATACAAATGAGAAACGATTCTTCCAAACCGAGTGTTACAAACTAAAAGAAGTCAGATAAAAAAAAAGGAAAGACAATCGTTGTCCGTAATTCGTCGTGATGTGCTTTTCACTCGGAATATTCGGACATGGACGTGAGAACAGGAAAATTTCACTAAGCCGTCCCTCTTTTCATTCATTTTCTTTTGGCGGGGAGTTTGAGAGAAGAGACGGGGACCTTAGTGCAATGATTGCAACCTGTTGTCATCTTCATGATTGGTATTGACGTACTATTATTATTATGTATCAATTTACACCTTCAACCCCCAACACCAGATCTCTGTCGCTACCTCTAACAGTTGTGCGATACATGGAGATTAGCATCTTCAATAAATCCCACCTTCCAAGACTAGGCCTCTTCGCCACCTTCATTGTCTCCGCGATCGGAAGCTCTTACTCCGCCCCGCTCTCCTTCAAATTTGCCGAGTTCAATTCAAGTACCCTGAACATAGAGGTACAAGGATTCGCCACTCTCAAAGACGGATACATCGACCTCACCCATGATCATATCCCGTCCGACACATGCAGTAGCATTGGCCATGCCACATATAGCGAACCGTTGCATCTATACAACACCGCAACGAGTCATTTCACAAATTTCGGCACCCACTTCGCCTTCATCGTTGATACACAAAACCAGACACACTACGGTGACGGACTGACCTTCTTTCTTGCTCCCAATGATTCTCGCATTCCCGACCATAGTGTCACCCAAGCCAGTTTCCTCGGGCTCACAAGCGTAGACCCTTCTTCTGTGGCCCCGGGCACTGCACCCACGGGCTCTTTTTTGGCCGTGGAGTTCGACACTTTCACCAACATGCGGGATCCGTGGTTCGCGCACGTCGGCACCAACGTCCATTCCCTAAATTCCAGTGCTCTGACTGAATGGGATCACCCGATAAGTGAAGGCCTTACCGCCGAAGTTTGGATTTCTTACGATTCCAGGGCCAGCTTATTGAGCGCAATTTCACTAATTTCAAGGATGGAGACGCGCATGAATTCGGCAACATTAGTCTTCCTGTCAACCTGAGCCAAGTTTTGCCAGAGTGGGTTGTTGTCGGCTTCACGACCACCACCGGGGATTACACCGAGCTGCACAAAATCCTATCATGGGAATTCTCCACAGATAGCGCCGACCCGCTAGTCCATGGAAGAGATCGGAATCATAGAGTTTTGGCACTGTGGTTGGGCATCGTCGCGATTCCTTTGGGCAGCGGTCTAGTTATTATTTGGTTTCTTTCGAGGAGGAAACGGGTTAAGAATGAAGAGGAAGATGTGATAGAGCTTGATGAGATAGACAATATTGATGATGACTTTAGAAAGAGAGCAGGGCCTAGGAAATTTTCTTATCATGAGTTAGCTCTCGCCACAAACAGCTTCGACGAGAAAGGGAATCTCAGAGAAGGCGGGTTCGGTGGCGTTTACAAGGGTCGCTTGAGGGAATCGGACTCCTATTTGGCAGTCAAGCGAGTCTCGAGCAACTCTAGGCAAGGGATCAAAGAGTACGCGTCCGAGGTGAAGATCATTAGCCAATTGAGGCATCGGAACTTGGTACAACTCGTAGGTTGGTGTCATGAGAAAGGACAACTTTTGCTCGCATACGAATTCATGCTTAATGGGAGCCTCGACTTGCATCTCTTTAAAGGCGTTAGCTTACTCTTGTGGGAGATGAGACATAGAATTGCTCGAGGCTTGGCCTCTGCATTGCTCTATCTTCATGAATTCGGCAATCAATGCGTCTTGCACAGGAATATCAAATCGAGCAACGTAATGTTGGATACCGAGTTCAATGCCAAACTTAGGGACTTTGGCCTAGCTAGGCTTGTCGATCATGATAAGGGGTCACAGATCACCGTCTTAGCAGGAGCACGCGGATACATGGCCCCCGAATGTCTCATAACAGGCAAGGCCACTAAGGAATCGGATGTATACAGCTTCGGAGTGGTTGCTCTCGAAATAGCATGCGGAAAGAGGTCAATTCAGCGAGGGTCAACTGAAGAATACTCGCTACCATTAGTCGAGTGGGTTTGGGATCTACATGGTTTAGGGATGCTTCTCGATGCAGCCGATCCAAGATTGTCTGGAGAGTTTGTGAGAGAAAAAATGGAATGCTTGATGATGGTTGGACTCTGGTGCGTGCATCCGGACTACACGAGTCGTCCTTCCATAAGGCAAGCCATTAGCGTACTCAATTTCGAAGCTCCAATTCTCTCACTCCCGTTGAAAATGCAGGTCATGAGGTATGTTGGTCCTTCGCAAGATACATTTACATTGTCTCAAGTATCTTCTTGTATCGCCGCAAACATTACTACAAGTAAGATTGACGAAACCTCGAGCCTCGCTTGCAAAACCAGTTCCTCATTGCATGTACCATCCCAATCACCTTCCCCTTCCGTCGCCCCTTCGATCTCGATAGGCTAGATGGGTTGTCGAAAACAGTTTCATGTGAACGACTTTGCCTCTCTCATGGATTGAAGTTTTCCAAAACAGGATCGATCGAATCAATTTTTTTCCGAATAGCAAGATACATACGATGGGAATTTGTGTGGTTTCTGAGTTCATAGCTGGGTTCGTGTTTGATCCAAAAATTTTGCGTGGATCGCCCGGCTAAAAAGAATCCTTTCTCGTGCTTCGAAGCAGCGCTGAATTCGCTGCGTTATCAAAAGGACTTTTGACACTTCATATGTATTTTGGAAATCGTGCAAGCTCATCGTAAATCCTAGAAATGGTGCCTGGTGCGCTGCAGAATAGAAAATTCCCACCTTCCTCCCACTTTCTTCTTTACTGAAAGATGAAGATGAACGTAAGCAATGGACGTTCCACTTGGCGCAAGATAAAAAAAAAAAAATAGCAAATGATGGAACGATAATGGCGATGGGACTTGTGTTTTGCATGGTTCTCGAGGGTGATCACGTGGTCCATTGGGGCATTTCGACCACTTTTCCATGCATCTGCTCTTTCTCGATAGGATTCGGCCGAGTTGCGAGCCTAATCATCCGCTTCTTCGTACATTGAAACTACTATAAAAATTTAGGATGATTACCCAAAAAATAGTCATATGATGTTAATTCAGTTCTGAACGTTTTAATTTGGCCAATTACATCCTAAATTTTTTTAATGATTTGTCGGTTCTTCGGACTTATTTTTTTTCGAAAATCGCTAACGTGGATCCCAACTGTTATACGTGACGCGACCGGTGTAGACATGGAGATATTTAGAATTCTCTTATCAAGTTGTCACAAAACATCGATTACTCCATCATATTCAACTGAAAATGAAGGAAGTCGGAAAAAATTTCATGCGCCAGGCTGGCATGATTTCTTTCCTTCCTTTTTCTTTTCCTTCTTTGAAAATTATTTTTAAAACTAGTAAAATACCCATGCTGCTCATGGGCTTGCAACATGCATGATGTAATTTTCTTATAAATACGATTGACTTTGGAAACTCATGAGCACGAGTTAAAATTCAGATACTTCACACATACCCTTTGTTTGTATTATTTGACTTGATTTTCATAATAAAGATGTTGGCTTAGTCTCTCTCTCTCTCTCTTTTTCTTTAAATTGAGGGTCTATCCAAATTGACTTTCATTTTTATTTTTTGCTTAATTTATTTATCGCGGTCCATGCATTTTGACTTTTTCAAATTTAAAACTTCACGACACTTAAATATTGACACATAAATAAACATATAATCTTTCGTGATTTTTTGCAACTCAAAATATATATTAAATTCTAACGGAAAAAAAAAACTTTTTGCTTTCCCACAAGTGCAAACAAACAAGATTTGGAGGTGTCCTAACTTCATCGTCTAAAAATAAGGGATAATAACATAAACAGTCCCGCGACTTTGGCCCAATGTGCAATGCAGTATCTAACATTTTCATTTGTTTAATGTAGTCCCTAAACTTTAGCTTACTGTGTAATATGGTTCATGAAATTTTAATTTGTTTAACTTGGTCCCTAGACTTAATTTAATGGAATGGTTACATTAAACATTTTCATATATATTCACGAACTAAATTGAACATATGCCAAAAGTTAGGGACTATATTAAATAAATTAAAATTTCAGGAACCACACTGCTTATTGGGTTAAATTTTAGGGACCACATTACACATTGAATCAGAGTTCAGAGATTATTTGTGTCATTTTCCCTAGAAACAATGACTTCCTATTTCGTCATTATTTCGAAGAGATTTCGCTCATCAATCAATAAATATAATTAAAAGAGAAGGTCGACTTGGCATCTCACTCTTCCTAAAGTGAAGAGTAATAAAAGCCCTTGTTTTTTTTCAAATTTCTCTAGTAACTAGTGCATATTAGTATATGTATATATAGATGGAAAATCTAATTCTTTCCAGATATAAACGAATTATTATGAAATATTTCCATTTAAAAAGGTATGGTATGATCTGGCTCACCTTTTTCGATTTATCCGCCGCCATCTTCGTCTCCCAAGATCTCCACGTACTCTCTCTCTCTCTCTCTCTCTCTAAAACCAGATGGATATCTCCATCTCAATCCGTTCTCCGCTTCGATCTTCGCCATGATTTGGCGTCGGATTTCGACTGTGCCGATCGTCGCGGACATGGTGAGCGGCGGAGCTACGGAGGCCTGAGCCTCTTCGGGACCACATGCGGTTCCTCGGCCCTCTCTCTCTCCTGGCAATCGCGTGCTTCCTTCTCGACTCGCTCAGCAGGTTCTCCTCCCACCACCTCCTGATCGGGCTCTCCGAACCGCGGTGCGCGTCGCTGTTGAAGTCGCTGAGCAGCGGGAGCGATGGCGAGGGCTGCGGCGGCGGCGGCGGCGGCGTTGTTTCGGCGATCCGATGCTCCCGCCAGGTCCTCGCGGCCGTCGCTCTCGTGCTGGTTGCGCGATTAGGGCTCAGGGTCTCGCCGTTCGGCCTCGGCAGCAAAGAGATTGTCCGATTTCTGTGTGAGTTCAAACGGAAAGCGAGTGAATTAGGAGGTGCGGATAAGGTTTCTCGAAATCGTGTCGATTTGAAGGTTCTGGAGACTTTCGATTCGCCGAAATGGAACGGATCGGTGACCGGTGAAGCGCTCGTGAGAGGAATTGCCGGTAAAGCCAACAAGCTCGTCGAAGAAGATGACGAGGAGGAGGAGGAGGAGGATAGAGAATGTTCGTGTCCGGAGGATGAAGTATTCGACGTTCTAGCGCTGAGGAAGATGGTGAAGATCGAGCGGCGGAGAGCGATGGCGGCGTCGATGGAGCTCGAGAAGGAGCGGATGGCGGCCGCGTCGGCCGCGGACGAAGCCATGTCCCTGATAATGCGGCTGCAGAGCGAGAAGAGCTCGATCGAGATGAGGGCCAATCAGGACCGCCGGCTGGCGGAGCAGAAGCAGCAGTACGACTGGGAGGTGATCGAGTCACTCCGGTGGACGGCGGCGAGCCACGAGTCGCGGCGGAGGGCGCTGGAAGATCGGTTGAGGTCGTGCGGGCGGAGGTTGCGCGCGAGCAGCGACGGCTCGAGCGGCGGCGGCGAAGGCGAGAGCTGTTCCGGCGGCGGTTCAGAAGAGAGCGTCGGCGATGCGGTCACGAGGTATGGAGAAGGAGAAGAAGAAGAAGAGGATACGACTCTCGATGATGATGTACTGATGAGCTCGCTCGAGCTTGATTCGCTGCTGATTGAGGAATGATCTTTGCTTCTCTGGATTTCGCTGCCCACCATTTTCTTTTTCCGGCTTAAACTTAATTATGAAGATTAACTTATATCCATTAAAGATATAAAGAAGACGAAATATCCTCTACGGTTGTATTTTTTTTTTTTAATAATTTTCCAAAACTGATTTTCCGAATGTCAAATTCCAACGAATCAAGGAAAAAAAATAGAAAATCATAATATTGATGAAGGAGAATACTCCCCGAACTACTGAGTCACACTGGAAATAAAATAATTCCCGCGCTTTAGATTTTGTTCTTTCGAAAAGGTTTTTAAAATTTGTAAAGGTAAAAATATAGATAAATAATTTCGAAATCTTATTGTTATTTTCGTCAAAATTAATATAAAAGTCGAAAAATTATTTTCCTCCGTTTCGTCTGGGCCGAGAACTTTTCTTGTAGGCCCAAAACCGAAAGAGAAAGAGAAGATGGGCTTCTTCGTTCGGGCCGAATCCATGCTGCCTTAAAACGACCTCGTTATTGCAGCGGTTTGCAATACGTCCTTCACGCCACCTGCAAACGACGCCGTCTAGAGGACTCTCTCCCTCTCTCTCTCTCTCTCTCTCTCTCTCTCTCTCTCCCGCTCCCGGTGTGTGTGTCTCCGTGCCTGCAAACGGAGAGAATGTAAAATATTTTCTCAGGCGAATTAGTCTGTATCGTTTTGACCAAAATAAAAAATAAAAAAAAAACTAGTCTGTGTCGTTTCCAGGGCCACTTCTTTGCAGAGCAGCAGCGGCCGGGAAGGGAAGGATCGCGCCTCCGCCTCGCGCTCCTCGGGAAGCGCTCTGGTCCTTCGTTGACGGGTAATCCTCTGACCCCCTCCGTTCTTGGAGCTTTCTCTTGCTGCTGCTGCTGCTGCTTCTTTGATCGTGTCCTCTAATTTATCGGTAGTAAAAGGGGCAGCTGAATTTGAAGTTTCGATCCCTGTTGTCCTGTTTGATTGCTTTCGTGCAATGGGTATGTCCGACCCATCTGTGTTTTTTATTCGCTCCCCCAGAAAGATTTCCTGCTTCGCGCCCACATGTTGGCATTCTTGTTTCCTCCAGGGGTTAGTGGAGCCTCGAGCTTTCTTGTTCTTTTCTTGATTTTTCGTGGTCAAGTGAATTCGCTTCTGTCGTGATCATCTGATGACTCGCCCGCTCCGATGTGTCTTCCATTTTTCACTCTCCTCAAATTGCTGCTAGGCTAAGCATGGTCAGAGGGTGTATCGTAAACTAAGAATGAATTTGAAATTGGTTCTGGTTCGATGTTTCGGAAGCTGTGAGAATTTGAGGGCTGTCGTTTGTTTCTCCCCTCTTCTTTGATGATGTGGTTTACTGGTGCACTAAATGGAGGCAGCCCTTATTTTTCCTTTCTTACACGTACACCCTGAAGGGACCATGCTCTTCTTTTCCTCAACGAAAGGCGGAATTCGGGGGTAAAAGGGTATAACTTGTTAGCTGCGGTGTTGCCTTAGGTGCGTATGTTTTTTCGTATTCGACTTCCTGTTGCTAGGTTTTTTTCATATAAATGGTTGTGTTATGGGAGAGATTTCAGATTATAAGCTTTCTGTGGCAATGCACCGCAGGGAGAGTCTTTCGGTTGTCGATGATGGATGGGGATAACTGCCTGGACGAGGAACCTCCTCAAATGCTTCCTCCTCCTCCTGGAACCTTTGTAGATCGTGAAGAACTTATTCAACACGTGGGTGATTTTGCTGTATCGCAGGGTTATGTAGTGACAATAAAGCAGTCTAAGAGGGACAAATTCGTGATCCTTGGCTGTGATAGAGGTGGTGTTTACCGTAATAGGCGGAAAACTGCTGATGATTCCTCTGGAGAACAACATAGCCGTAAGAGGAAAACGGCTTCTCGGCTTACGAATTGTCCTTTTGAGGCCATGGGCAAGAAGGATGATGGCCTGTGGATTCTCACGATTAAAAATGGAACTCACAATCACGAGCCACTTAAGGACATCTCTGAGCACCCTTCTGCCCGTCGCTTCAATGAAAATGAAGTTTTGCTCATCAAAGAGATGACAGAAGCTGGATTGAAGCCTCGTCAAATTCTAAAAAGATTGAGACAGAGCAATCCTGAGTTGATGTCAACTCCAAAGCATGTTTACAATGTCAAAGCTAAAATTCGGCAAGGAAATGTAACAGGTGACAACTATCTGATTTCTATTTACCCATCGAGATTCCAGCAAGAGAGTCACTCATTGTATAATTGCATCATTTGATTTTGTGTTAAATTTTCTTCATTAGTGAACTGGTTCTCATGTTTAGCTTTGTAAGCTTTTCAATGTCGTGCGGCATATGCTTGTGATTCAGATTTATTTGTGGAAAGGCTGTTGCTGAGTGTGTTCTTTTGCTATTTTGAAGAATTTAAGTATCAGAGAAGATGGATCTGACAAATAACGGGAGTGGAAGCTAGCATAGTTTGCATGTTTTTATTTGTTTTTTAGTTAAATGGTGCATAGTGGGATAGGGTTCCCCATTTTTGAGCCGTGATGAATCGGACATTTCAGTTTATCAATGTAAAATAAGTTTTAGCTGTCTCAGCTCAACTCTGCAATACTCAAATTTTAAGTCGTACTGCATCAGTTCTTTTTTTTTCTCCCTGGCATAGACTATCAGTCAATCAAAAGGATTTGGACATATTGTTGTCCTTCCAAATCATTTTAACACCTTCTGCAACTTGAAATCTAGTTAGACAGGATAAACCTCCATCTTTTCAAAAGCAATCTGGAAAAGTTTTTGCAAATCTGCCTTCGGTTTCCTGAGACCTAGATGGTTTGATGCTGCAGTCAGGAACTTCAAGTCTTTGAGACCGCAGACGTCTGCCATGATAAACGATGATCAAGCGGTGACTGAGCCATCTTGGAGACTACGGAACCCCTCAGTAAGTGTACATGTAACTTCACATGAGATAGCCCAACAAAGGCTTATCCCAGCAATCTTGGGTTTAAGAGAGTTTCAGCCTGAGGTGTTCCATATCCTTGTCCTTTCTATATTGCTTGAATTGGAAACTGATTTACATCACTGGGTGCTGTGACAGAGGGTTCCCAATCTCATTGGTGGGAGATTTGTTGATTCACAGTCGTTTTCATCTATAGATGTGATAAACCCCGTAAGTCTTGGAGCAGTTTCCTTATAGTAGAGTATCTAATTGCAATTTTCTTGTAGCTAGGGAGACTATTGACTTGTCCGTGTGCCCTAAATATGCAGGCAACCCAGCAAGTTGTTTCTCAGGTTCCTTTTACTACAAACGAGGAGTTCAGAGCTGCCGTGTTCGCTGCAAAAAGGACTTTTCCATTGTGGCGAAGCACATCAATTGCTTCTCGTCGACGAATCATGTTCAAGTTCCAAGAGTTGATTCGTAGAGATATTGTTAGTTTGTTTTGATTTTCTTACTTTGTTGCAATTATTCAGAGTGTTTCCAAGTCATGATGATTGTCTTTTCAGGATAAGCTTGCTATGACCATCACTACCGAACATGGAAAGCCATTGAAGGATGCGTATGATGATGTTTGGCGTGGGTTAGGTTTGTGCTCTCCATTCATTTACACATTTTAGACCAAGTGCCATTGTTGGTGTCCCACTATGGAGTTGCTCTTTCTGCTGCAGAGGTTGTTGAGCACGCTTGTGGATCAGCATCTACCCAAATTGGCGAATTTGCTCCAAATGTATCTAAAGGGATTGATTCTTACAGTATGAGAGAGCCACTTGGTGTTTGTGCTGGTATCTGTCCTGCTGAGTTTCCAGCAATGATTCCCTTATGGGTATGCTTGCTAAGTTCTATTATTCTCTTTTCTCATATATTGCTTATTTTACAATTCTTGGTGGGTTAATTGCTCGGTTAGATAATGCCACAATGTACTTTAAAGCTTCAACATTGATAATTAGCTTTTCATGAGGCTGACATATTATTAGGCTTGTAAAAGAAAAGTACTTATACACGCTAGAGTTCATCTAAAGAGAAACATTAATTAGTCTTTTCCAGGCTGGCTACATGCTCTGGACCACGCTGAGTGAAGAACAAAAACAGTGTTGCTAATGCCATTTTGTGCATGCAGATGTTTGCTTTTGCTGTCACATGTGGTAACACCTTTGTTCTGAAGCCATCCGAGAAAGATCCAGGTGACTCACTAGTAAATTCTGTTCTTCGGAAAATTACAGAAAGCATGTAAGGTCAAGAGGCAGAGGGCAGTTTCATGCGCATGTATTTAATGACATTCCTATTCACACACTGCAGCTGCATGATTGGCACAGATTAAAATTGAGTTCACTGTATTCGTGATCTGGATGGTTCATGTATAACACTAGTTTTGCATTGTGGATAAGTCGATCTTCTTACGATTTACTGTCGTGTTACTTTTTATAGTTTTGTCTGTTACTTCTTAAGCATACCTGGAGTCACGAAGCTTGTGAGTACATAACCTCTTGTATGGAAACTTTTGCTTGTATTGGAATTTGTTAAGCTACTAGCCTCCTAGTAATGCACTCCGCATCTTAGGGTTGTATGGGGTCTATATATTTCTCTTTGAGTTTGTTCCTCTGAATTATTTTTATATGACCTTTTAGTCACTGGAGGAATAATGGTCTGGTGCTTTAATTTTATTATAGATCAGTTGTCCAGGTTTTGCTTTTTTGAGTTTGTTCCCGTGAATTATTTTTTAAATGACTTTTAGTCACCAAGGTCTGTAATAGACTGGTGCTTTATTTATATAACAGATCAGTTGTCCTGGTTATTCTTTAGGCATGAGTTAATGTATGCAGATCCAGACTTAAAAATTATGACAAAAGTCTGATAATGCTTCAGGGGCTTCTGTGGTTCTTGCCGAGTTGGCAATGGAGGCTGGATTGCCTAATGGTGTCTTAAACATTGTTCATGGTACCAATGTAAGTTTCAAATGAACAAACAATTTTTTGCTTTCACATTTATAAAGGTTCCCTTCCTCAGACAGTGAGTGTATTGCCCTTATTTGCCCATAATTTAATTAGCCTATTGATTTGAATAAAGTTATCAATGAAACCTACTTTTTTCTTGTATTTTGTCTGTTATTTTTGGTGTGCACTGTGCAGTGTTACCTGGTCCTTCTTTGCAAATTGAACTCGAC